GTAAAGCTTCAAGTTTGTGTAATTATTTGCACATGATTTATTGTAAGAATGGGCTACATGATACCCTTGTAAAAGTAATTTAAACTGTATAAAAAAATTGAAATCAATTGTGAAAATCCATTCCTTATATAGGACGGTCTCTCCTGTTGCCAATTGATAGGTCCAAGATTTACCATTTTGGTGTAACATTTGTAACATTTATATGATTTTTTCATATGTCGATCTCTCTTAAATATATAACACGAAAAAAATTTTCATAATTGAAAAGAAGATTTCATTAATTAATAATATGATGAGCGATAGACCAGTAAGAAGACGACGTCAAAGAAATCCTTATTTATCAACTGCTAGGTAGGTTAATGAATGCTATTGTACTTTACACATTATAACATGTAAATTATGGATTGTCCTTATTTATATTTATTAAGAAACTTATTCATTAAAATTTTAAAGTAACGCGTTTTTTGTTGGGTATGTTGAAGATGATGAACCCGTCGAAGCAATTATGAAAAAATTTGAAGAATTGGAAAAAATTCAACAAGAAATTGCTGCCACTAAACCTGAAAACTTAATTAATGATGATAATGTTGAAGAAGAGCCTTTGACTGAGGAACAATTGGAAGAAGTATTTAAAAGAACTTCTACATTTACCGTCAAATCTGCTACTCTAGCACCAAATGTTGATGATTTTGAGGATATAGAATTATGGAGAATAGAAATGGAAAATAGTATTGAAGAATATTATGAAGAAGAGTTAATTAAAATTTTTTTAAGAAAAATCTAAGAAAAAAGAATAATATTTAGTAATCCAGGGATTTTTCTTCTTTATAATAGTGATTACATGGCAGTAGATGATGATTTTTGGGATGAAGAGTTTGGTGATAAAAAGAAAAGAAAACGTGATAAAAAAGATCAGCGTCTTAATGAAAAAGCAAAACAATTACAAAAATATAAAATTTTACAAGCTAATCTACAAGATAGGAATGGCAACTTTTACACAATAAAAAATGAGAAAGAAAAGGTAAAATTATTTTGTAATTAAATAATTTAAATTAGCATATTCAATATTTATAATTAATTATATTCAAAATTTATAGTTAGAATTAAAAAAACAAACAGATATTCGTGATTTTTCAAAGCAAAAAACTATTACAAAAAAAGAAAAAAATAATATCAATAAAAAATTATTAGAATTTATTATAGACAATGCGCAACCTTTTTATATACTTAAAAGTAATAGTTTTCAAAGCTTTGTTCAATCATTAAATCCTAGCTACAATCTACCTACTCAAGAAAAAATTGATGAGATGTTAGAGTATAATTATCAAAATATTCAAAATTTATTAATTGAAATAATGGAGAGAGAATCCAAATATATATCGCTGACAAGTGATTTTTGGACTTCTCGTGGCAAACATGGATATTTGGGAGTAACTTGTCATTGGATTTCTAATGAATATCAACCACAGGAAGCTTTGTTGTCATTGGTTCACATCCCATATCCACATACATCCGAAGTTATTTGTCAGAAATTACGAGAGATAATTTTTTCATGGAAGTTAGAAGAAAAGATTGTCTGTATAACCACAGACAGTGGTTCCAATTTTATTAAAGCAGTCAGGCTTTTACAAAGAGATTTTTTTGATCTCAAGCGTGTTTCATGCAATGCACACACCTTGAATCTAGTAGTTAGGAAATCATTGAAAATTAATACAGCTATCCAAAAATTCATTTTAAGAGTCAAAAGGTTAACCAAATTTTTTTCATCTCCTAAATGATGTGAGATATTAGAAA